TGAGATCCGCCTGCCTCTGCCTCCTGAGTGCTTGGACTAAAGGCGTAAACCACCAATGTCCAGCTCAGAACTGGTTTCTTTCTTTCTTTCTTTCTTTCTTTCTTTTTTTTTTTTTTTTTTTTTTTTTTTGGTTTTTCGAGACAGGTTTTCTCTGTGTAGCTTTGGAGCCTATCCTGGTACTCACTCTGGAGACCAGACTGGCTTCGAACTCACAGAGATCCGCCTGCCTCTGCTTCTGAGTGCTGGGATTAAAGGCATGAGCCACCAACGCCCAGCGGGAACTGGTTTCTTAACCAATATTTTTTCAGGAATAATTCTATATTTGGTATTTAACTATCATTTATTGGTAGCATTTTGGAAAAATGCCAAATGTTAAAGTCCCCTGTGATTATCATGAGAACTGCTTTGCAAGCAAGGCTGAACATGCAAAAGCTTCCTTAGGAAGGTTATACCATCTACGGCAGATCACAACATATGTTTATATTTGATCAGATTATTCTTGTTTGTTTATTGAAGCAGTGTGCTGTGCAGCTCAGGCTGATTTCGAACCTGCTTTATACCAGAAGACAAGGACCTACCTTGAACTCTTAGTCCTCCTCCCTTCACAACCCAAATGCTGCAATTATAGGCAAGAACCATGATGCCCAGATATTTATTTATATAATTTTGTTTATCAATATAAATAAGTATATGAACAAAATATGGTATTTAATACTTATTAGCATGAATATTTCTAGCTATTATTATTTTTCACTACTGTAGAAATGTCTAATTGCAAATGCTATATTCTACTTAGCTATTGCTTGTAGTTATAAGTTAACATCATATTCAACAATTGTATAAAACATTTTATTTGTTAGTCTTACTTCTTGGTGTTATTGTGGAAATACTAGAGCACTCTACATTTGCATTTAAAGTATCATCACAATTACTTACTATTTGCATATTTATATTATTTCATCATGAAGCCAATAGCAAAACAAGTACATACTTAAATACAGAAGCTACTCTGTTTCCATCTGCACAAAAAACATGAGTAGGAGCTAAAAATGCAAAGCTTCTTTGATCCTTCAGTAACATTGCTGGCTTTTTGAATCAGAAATCAAGAAAAAAGTGATCCATGTATCTTTTTTATACCTATAAATTAGCGTAAATGTAATAGAAATGACAACCTTTAATGGAATAAATCAAATTTGCTTTGTTTTCATGTTTTGTTTTTGTCCCATGAATTCAGGATGCTGCTGCTGATGTTCCATTGAATCAAGGACAGTGCCTGCCTAGTCTGAAGGTAATTCCTTTAGCTTTGCTGACATCTGCACACATTAGTCTATAAAAGCCTTAAAAACTCAGAACATCACTGTTTTATAGGGTAATAGTTGCTATGTATATGTATGCATAGTAAAGGTTTACTACATCTACCATATAATTATCACAAAGACATTTTTTTTTGTTCCTATGAGTTGGTTCAAACTTCCAGTGCATGCTATTGTAATATTCTACCATGGAATTGCATGTCCAATGTACGCTATTCTTTTTAAAGTGGTTATAGATGTGTATTTTTCAAAATCTATCTTTTATTAAAATATCTCCAGACAAAAAGAGATAAAATATGGAACATAAATTTTTCTACAAATATATGGATGAATTCAGAACACTATGAACAAGAAAATCTATTCCAAGTCAAGTTTGACAGTTTGATGAATGTTTTTACAAGTTTATCTATGAGCAAAGAAATTTTCATTTCCATAAACAAACAAGATTATAACTTACTGAAAATTTACCAACAATAACCATAAGTTATGTGTTTCCCCCTGTTTTACTTTTGAACCCTAATGTGTTTGAAAATTTTCACATTTTATTAACCTGTATTCTGCCATTCAACTGATATTACTATTAAATACACAAGTTAACATGTGGGTATTGAGTGCCTATTACTCAGAGTTATAAAAATTGTTAGTTCTTGCCGGGCGTTGGTGGCGCAAACCTTTAATCCCAGCACTCGGGAGGCAGAGGCAGGTGGATCTCTGTGAGTTTGAGGCCAGCCTGGTCTCCAGAGCGAGTGCCAGGATAGGCTCCAAAGCTACACAGAGAAACCCTGTCTTGAGAAAAAATAACCTGTTAGTTCCTAATATAAGTTGATTTAGTTCCATGCTCATAAAATATTGGGATGTGTTTAACTAAAATACAGAAAACATGCCACTTACCTAGATATATTTAATTAAAAGATTATCATCAATTAAATCTTATATTCTTCTGAAATATAATATAGTGACATGCAATTGACAACCATCGTTCATTCTTCCCATAAGGTAAATAATTTATTCCTAACATTTATAAATATTCATGAAGAATTCATGAATCTGAGACTGTTAACATAAATAGGAATCTTTGGAGCACAGTGTCCTCCTGATTCTGAGGAATTAAGAAACATGTAGACTGGTTTTCCAGGTGAAATAGCAACTTTTGTGTATTTGATATAAAAATATCCTATATGTTATGTTTTATTTACTATCAGAAATTTTAGAAAATTATTCTATATTAGGGAACGGTATAAATGAGTAATGTTTCTCATTACGGAACTATAAGGCCCACTTCTTATGGATTCATTAATCCAGACACCAATTTGTAGTTTTGTTAGACTGTTTAAAGTAAGATTATGGAGTATAACAACAATACTACTGAAAACCAGAGGCCAGAAGACGGTGCCAGATACCCTGAAGCTGGAGCTAAAGGTGGTTTTGAGCCAGGCTGATATGGGTACTACTAGGAGCTGACTTATGTTCAGGGAGCTATTTCTCCAGAAACTACCTTCAGCTTTTTATGAGATGAGATCTGAATGTGCAAATCTTTTCTCACACTTCCACTGCCCCTCTTCCACCCCTCCAGTGCTGGATCACAGTGGAACCATGTTCAAGTTAGTTTCTGCTTTTTTGGAGGTGGGGGGTTTGAGATACGTTTTCTCTGTATAGCTTTGTAGACCAGGCTGGCCTGGAACTCATAGAGATCCGCCCATCTCTGCCTTGGTTTCTACTTTTTTGATTACAGACATTTTACTAGAATGAGACAGAATCTCAGTGTAGTTTTGATTTTCATTATTTAGATGGCAAAAGATGGAAGTCATGTTCTTTAATTGTCTAAGAAGTATTACAAACTTTCAAGTAATTTTAGTCCAATAATATTTGAAAATGGGGTGAAGTCAAGAGCAACACTGTGAAGCTCTACATAAGAGTTTTAAAACATTAAGAATGAGCTGAAATTGAAGTAGGGAAAGAGATTTATAGTCCTTGATGCCATCCCTGAGATAAACTTTATAGTTTAAAGACCACTGGGCAATAATTCTTCCATTCATGAAGTGTCCATGTATGTGTGTGAATGTATATCCATGCTTGCTTGCCTATGTAAATAGGCATTCTTATGAGCTGATGAAGAATCAAGTTAAACACAGGCATGTGCTATCAGAGAGTAGTTTTCAAGGAATACTGTCTTTTGTGATGCTCCTCAGAAAACCTTGAATCTTTTGAGATAGAAACTTGAGACTCTTTGTACATGAATCTTCCATCAAAAATAAACGAGTCCATAGAGGATGATTATTCTAGATGAACCAAGTTTCACATACTGGTCAGCATCCCTACATTCTTTACATACTGGACTCTAAAATTTGACTAAAAACAAAGCTGACTATCTCAGTTGATGGATGATTAAAGAAGGAACAAAATTTACAATAATGGAACAGAATTTGTATTTATTTGCCTGCTGGCAAATGAGAATACAGTGTCCCTCCAATATCAGCACTGAAATACACTAGTCTATGGCAGAGACACAAAGGTATGTAATTAGAGACATTGTGGTAGTACAAATTTCCATAAACTTGAGATTTAATTCATCCATTATCCACACCATACTAGGGTTCTACTTGGCACAGATTTTGAATGAAGCAAGAACTCTAGTATACATTTAGTCAAGTATGAATACAATTACCTCTATGTATAAAAAGAGTCATAATCAGTAAAGTAACGCCTGCCTATAATTTTTTCTTTTTTGTTTGAACAGACACAATGAATTTACTAGAATGGATTGTCGCCATCATAATAATAACAGAATTTCTCTTAGGAAACTGTGCCAATATTTTCATAATTCTAGCGAATGCCATTAACTGTATCAAGAGAAGAAAGTTCTCCTCCACTGACAGAATGATAACTGCTCTTGCCATCTCCAGAATTGGCTTGCTCTCAGGGATGTTATTGAATTGGCATTCAACTGTGTTCACTGCAGATACATACAATGTACAAATAAGAGCTTGGGGTCGCATTATCTGGACTGTAACCAACCATTTTAGCAATTGGCTTGGGACCATGCTCAGCATGTTTTATTTGTTCAAGATAGCCAATTTTTCCAACCCTCTATTTCTTCACCTAAAAAGAAAAATTGAGAAGGTTCTTCTGGTAATATTTTTGGGGACTTTCCTGGTTTTTGTTTCTTATCCTGGTATGGTGAACATCAAAAAGATTGGTTGGGGGAGTGATTATGAAGAAAATGTGACTTTGAAGAACAACCTGAAGGACATTACAAGCCTTGCAGACATACATATCTTTGGCCTGATAAATATCATACCATTTTGCATATCACTAACATGTGTTCTGCTCTTAATCTACTCCCTAGTCAAACATCTCAGGAATATGAAACACCACAGCAAAGGATGTCAAGATCCTAGTACCATGGTCCACATAAAGGCCTTGCAAACTGTGATCTCCTTTCTTGTGTTATATGCCACATATGCTCTCTGTGTAGTTATAGCAGGTTGGAGCTTACAAAATTCACCAGTCTTCTTATTGTGCATGGCAATTGGTGCTGTTTACCCAATAGGTCATTCTTTTATCTTGATCTGGGGAAACCAGAAGCTGAAACAATCCCTTCTGTTGTTTCTAAAGCAGGTGAGATGCTGACTGAAAAAAATGGAAGCCTTCACATCTATAGATAAATAACAGATATGGTATCTTCTAGCTAAATACAACTGATGTTAATAGTAATAATTTTCTCTCCACTACTATTTTCAGAAAACATGTTATTAAAGAATTTCTAAAGCTATCCATAGGAAAGTCTCATTCCAAAACTTGTTACATAAAAGGATACATGGATGCATTTTGGTGAGAACAAACAGACAAAAAAGATTGAAAAGAACATTCTGTTCATCACTGGTTTCTTACAGATAATCTAGTTATAAAGAATATAGAAGAAATATTTCATAACCATAAATTCTTGTATAGTATCCTATTATTCTCTGAGAATAACACTTTGCTGTATGATCTAGAATTCAATGTACCTGCCATGGTTGAAACATCAAAATCTGAACTTACATTACACCATGACAATTAACAGTATAATAGAAGCACATCACATGTATATTATGCTTTTATTCTCAAATAGAGAATATTTTTTAAAATATTATCACAATAAAAATATAGAAATAATTGCACATATTCACTATTTTCTTCACTTATCAAGACTACATCTGTGAACTATATCAGACAACCATAGGGAATCTCTTGAGAATTTGGTTTCTTAAAATCTTGTATAAATTGTGGAAATGAGAGACATGTGTTGATATAATCATTGATTGAAAGTTCTACTATAGGCAGTAAAATATTAATCATTGAGTGCTATCCAAGTGTCAATTTGGGACATCATGCTTAAGCAGTTCCTCTATTTTTATTCCCTTTTAGAGTGTTTTTTGTTTTGCTTTTTTAGTAATTTATTTTTTACATTTCAATCCCAGTTGCCCCTCCCTTCTCTTCTGCCACTCCCCCACTCCTCCCTCCACGTCCAGGCTGCTCCTTGGAGAGGGTAACGTCTCCCATAGGAAGTCTACTATGTCTGTCCCATGATCTAGTTGAGGCAGAACCAAGGCACTTCCCCACTCCCCACACTCCTGTCTAGACTGGGCAAGGTATCTCTCCTTATAGAATTGGCTCCACTAAGTCAGTTTGTGCATTAGAGTTATATCATGGATCCACTGCCAGTGGTTTCATATATTGTCCTTTTTTAAATTCTTATACAAATTAATATGAGTCAATATATTCCATTGAGTTTGTTCTTATTTGTCCCCTCATCCCCACTTCTCTGCCTGTTCTCTTACTATCTCTACAAAGTCTCCTTTTCCATTCTCAATTATCTTCTATCTCCTTCCCATGATATCTTCGTCTCCATTTTCATGGGCTGCTGTCTAGTTTTAAGATACACACAAACACAGAGAGAGCCTAAATTAAATCTCAATCCATCTATGGGAGAAAACAAACAATATTTCGCTTTCTGAATCTAGTCAATTTTGCTTAACATAATATTCTAGTTGCTTAAGGTTCTCTACAAATGTGTATCACATTTTCATTACCCATTCGTCTATTGATTTTCTTCTTATCTGCTTCCATTTCTTATTTCTTACAGACAATGCAGCAATACATATGGGTGTACTAGTAATGTACTATGTGTTTATTTGTTAGCATGGCATATACCCATGAGTAGATGATAATGGTGGTTCAATTTTTTGAATGAGGTTTTGTGGACTTTGTGCCATGCAGTTTGGCATGGCTATTGTCATTGTTCAGCTCATGTTTAGAAAATCAAGTTGGTGATATTTTAATGGGTATATTTCTGACATCACTAGGAGACACTATCACAACAAACTTCCTGATCCTTTGGTTCTTACAACCTTTCCTTCCCAGCTTGCATAATTATCCCCAAATCTTAGGTGCAGCAGTTGATTGTAGATATATACATAGGACTGGGCTCCACAACTTTGGCAATGTACTCTACCCCCTGAGCCTGAGGATGCCTCAAAACCACTGATTGACTCCACAACATAGAATAGTGTCACACAGTAGAATGTACTGGGTGGGTCTGTAACAAAGCTATGGTGTTTCTGTGTGTCCACTGTTGTAGACAATAATGTATGTGCAACAAAGTCTCAACTGCCTTGCCAAGGTAATAGAAGATTTTCCAGTGCAAGAGAAAAATTGGAATTATAAAATTAGAAAGATAAAAATTCTAAAACCTTAGCATGAGAAGAAGACGTATGGATACTATCTGTGGCACTGGCCTCTATTTGGCAGGAAAAATGGTAAAAGCTGGAAGGCAGGATGAGATGCAAAGGAAATAAAGTACAAATTACATCTGTGATAAAGAGTCCTTCCAGAAGTATAAAATCTTGAAACCCATGAGAGAAATTAGATAGCCAGATACTAAGGAGATAAAAGGACATTGAAGAAGTGGTAAGAGAGACCTTTTAGGCCTGGCATTTAATACAGATTTTGATGTATAGTCCATCATGATAATACTCCAGTGTAGAAAACCATGATGATCAGAGAATACTTGAGATCTCAAATCTATGAATAGAAACTTTTTAATTTTTCTTTTATCTTTAATTGTGTTAATATGTATATACCCTGTGTGGCTATGTGAATATGTAAGTGCAGATGCTGGCACTTAAGTTAAGAAGAGGATGTCTCATCACATGGAACTGGAGTTAAAGGTGGTTGTGAGCTACCTGACATAACCTGAGGTCCTTTGCAAGTGTATTATGCTCTTAACCACTGATCTATCTCTCCAGTCCAAGGAAATTACTTTGTGAACAGCAGTGAAAAGGCCTCTGTGGCCTATGGTGTGAGACTGATGTACATGAGGACAGATAGGGTGAGGCTTGGTGATGTGGAAGCAGAGAAACTGAATGAAATAACTTCCCTTCTCTCCCTGAAAAAAATGGCTACATAACTATGCATATGAAGTTGGCAATGAGTGCTTCTGCCTTGCAAGAGAAAGTACAGGGTGAGGATGAAGATTACTCACCCTGTCTGGGAGCATATCAGCATCCCTGCTCACCCTTGAAGCCTAGTTAAACTGAGCACTACAAGATGACCCTATTGAGACAACTAAGAGATGGGTGGTGTTCTGCATCTATAATAGCAGCAGAAGCCCAGAATGAAGAGGACAGATGGCTTACGGATCAAAACTGTGAGTTATTGACAGCTATATAGAGCACTGTGCTCTGTCCATGCAGCTATACCTGAAGGGACCAGCTCCCCATTTCGGCATCCATAACAGCCGAACAGGTGCTGGCCATGACCTTGCCTTGTTCACTAAGAGGTCAGATGCCTGCCTCGTGGCAAGGAACCAATCAGAAGTTGGCTGGTGGTGCTATGCTTTACGGCTCTGGGTGTGCTTTTCAGACAAGTGCACAGCAAGGACTTGCAGAGCATAGCACCCACCCTGGGAGGGCCTATGTGCCATAACAACCAGTTGACAAATTAACACAGGCCAAGCCCTCCAAGCCTGGAGGCACACCAATCCTGAGCCTGTGCGTACCCCTAGACACTCCCCTTTTGCTGCCCTATAAGATCTCTATGCAGACGCTTTGAGCTGTCTTTCCTAGCCATCCGCCATGGTGGATGGATGGAAGGTTCGAGCTAACATGGGGTTAGCGCGTTAAACAACTATAATAAAGCCTCGTGCAGTTTGCATCAAGCTTTCGACTCTGCCTGGTGTTTGGGGTGACCGTGGTCCTGGGCTGAGATCTTGGAGGCCTGAGCTTCGGGGGGGGGGGGTCTTACATTTGGGGGCTCGTCCGGGATTTTCGACCACCCCCTTACCTGAGTGGAGTCGATCTTGGAGGTAAGGTAGAGCTTTGTGTCTTGTTATGTCCATGTTTGATAATGTGTCTCTTGCTGTTTTGTTGGTTTGGTGCCATGACTTGAATTTGATCTGTGCCTGTACAGGACTTGTATTTGGTAATTTGGACCACAGGGGGAAACAGATGTGTCCTGAGACCCCTTGGTCCTGCCCTGGACAAAAGTCCAAGGTGTCTGGGGAAGGGAAGGATGTGAAGCGTCGATTCTCTGAGGCCCAACTGGCCCCCCAGACTCCGCTTCCCTCCCGCTCTGTAATTTTGGTTTGGTGCCATGTCTGTGTCTGTAATTTGGTCTGCTGCACAGTTTGTCCTGTCTGTTGTGTCTGTCCTTCTGTTTTTGCTGTTTGTGTCTGTCTCCACTTTCCCCATGGGTTAACAACTAACAATCCCCTTTCATTGAGTCATGTGGTGCCATACCAGGTAACTTTCTTTTTTTTTTCTGTCTTTGTTTCTGTACGGTTTCTATAAAGCCTGGAGTGTTGGAACAGGCTTTATGACTGACTGGGCAGTTGAGCAGGTTTGCTATCTGTGTTATCTGATCTGTTGCAATCCACACCTTGCCTGCATGCTTTTCGGTTCTGTGTCAGTTTTATGTTTTCAGATTTGCTGTTTCTGTTAATTTTGTAAATATGGTGGCTAGCTGCATCTGTAAGTAGGCCTACAAGAATTATTTAGGGCAGAGTTTTGGGCGACAGCTTCCGAAATCTGTAAGGGGGCCAGGGGTCCCAAAGTTGCCCAATCTGTAGGACGGGACTTGCTGGAAGCAAGTTGCCTGCTCCATCTGTAAGGGGACCCAGGCGGGTCTCCAATCTGTAGGGCAGACTTGGTTTTGGACCAAGTTGATCTCCATGGGGCTAGCCATCTGAAATTCCAAATAGGACCCTAGTCTGTGTTACTGTGCTGTCTGTCCAAGTTTCACATTTGTGCTGTGTATTTGTTAAGCATCTCTTTCTGTCCCTACTGCCCACCCACATGGTATGCATGGGTCAGGGGTCTTTTCTTGCTGCGCTGAGTATGAGGCGCAGGACAGGAGTTCCTTTGCCTGTGTGCCATGATTTAGAATGTGCTCCAGCAGAGTCCCCTGAGGCTGCTACTCTGAACTCCAACCATTGCTGCGGCCCTCACAGCTGAGCCTGGCCGATATAGGTGAGTCTTGTTTTTCTATCCTCACCTGCTGGCCTGTGAGGCATGCAAAGTGGAGCTGTCTCTGCCCCAACTGCTATCCTGCCATGGGTCCTGGCTTGCGGCAGGAGTTTCCCTGCCCTGAGC